ACCGCTACACAGTGACGGTGGAGGGCATGATCAAGCTGTCTCTGTCCACAGCCAGCGGCCTGGCGCACCTGCACATGGAGATCGTGGGAACGCAAGGTACGCTGTGTTTGTGCCGAGTCCATGTTGGTATTTTTTTATGAAACGCTAAAAAATTACTAGAAAGTACTCGTATTTTTGGTGTCTGAATCTGTTCATTTATATAAAAATACACAGAGAACGCAGTTCATACAGACAAGGGCTTCAGTACGGCTCTTCTATAATATTTTACATTTGTAAATGTAAATTATTTAGAATTGATTTTTTGCTTAAAGTAAATGTCAAGGTGTTACATCCTGACTTCAAGAAGAAAAATGTCTCATCAGAGGCTGAAAGTCTTGAAAAGGAAGCCTTAAGTAGCTTAAGTGTAATATATACAGTATGTGCCTCTAGAAGCTTGCGTTCTGCAAGTGAACGTCGCTTTATTGTTCATCCCAAAGAAGCACAAAATCACTTTCACAGACTTTTTCATTAACTGTTCCCTCCTGGTGGAATGACCTGCCCAACTCAAACCCAGCACCATCTTCAAGAAACGACTAAAAACACATCTCTTCCATCTTTATTTGACCCTCTAACTCTAGCACTCTCTATTCTAATTCTATTCTTAAAAAAAACTTACTCTATGCACATTCGTAAACTCTATTCATTTACTAACCGCTTGTTTTCTTTAAAAATAATTGCTTCTCTAATCTTTTTGTATTCTATTTGTTTTATTTTTATTTATTATACAATTAACCAAAGCAAAAAAAGGCCTCTAACACTAGCTTGCTCTATTCTTTTTCTATTCTATCTGTTTTCTTTTTTTATTTATAATATAATAAAAAAAAACTTGCTACGTGTACTGCATTAAGCTAACTGAGACTTTTTATAGCACTTGTGTATCATTGCTCTTTTGTTGATTTTGATTGCTTCTATTGTCCTCATTTGTAAGTCACTTTGGATAAAAGCGTCTGCTAAATGACTAAATGTAAATATATTATTTCTTGACATTAAGCAATTTTTTTAACTAATATTGACGCAATGTTGACCATCATGACTGTGTTAAAGTAATTCAAATTCTGAAAAATCAACCATAATCTTACCTTTTATGACATGGCAAGTTCAAACCTCAGTGGTATTCATAATTAAAAATATATAAAAATATACATTTAAAAATGCTTTTTACCTTGAAACATTTATGGTGAGCCGTTAATTCATCTTCACACAAGGCTGTGCTGTTTTAGTTCCAGTGAAGCCAAATCAAGCTTTACAGGCCCTGCTCATTCAGCCAGCGTTAGAAGTATTTATTTATTTAAATGATGTATAAAAATAGCACTTTGAGTCACTGTTTGCCTCTAGAAGTCCAAAACTGAAGCATTTTGCTTGATTTAGACTTCAGTCAAGAGAAGTTGATGGGGTTTTGTGAGAGCTTCATTTACCGACGGAGCAGCTTTATTACATTCGTATAATTGAGTGGTAATGCCTCATTACACTGTGAGAGAGTCTGATCAAGCTCTGAAGATCAATTCAGCACGACCGCTACACAGTGACGGTGGAGGGCATGATCAAGCTGTCTCTGTCCACAGCCAGCGGCCTGGCGCACCTGCACATGGAGATCGTGGGAACGCAAGGTACGCTGTGTTTGTGCCGAGTCCATGTTGGTATTTTTTTATGAAACGCTAAAAAATTACTAGAAAGTACTCGTATTTTTGGTGTCTGAATCTGTTCATTTATATAAAAATACACAGAGAACGCAGTTCATACAGACAAGGGCTTCAGTACGGCTCTTCTATAATATTTTACATTTGTAAATGTAAATTATTTAGAATTGATTTTTTGCTTAAAGTAAATGTCAAGGTGTTACATCCTGACTTCAAGAAGAAAAATGTCTCATCAGAGGCTGAAAGTCTTGAAAAGGAAGCCTTAAGTAGCTTAAGTGTAATATATACAGTATGTGCCTCTAGAAGCTTGCGTTCTGCAAGTGAACGTCGCTTTATTGTTCATCCCAAAGAAGCACAAAATCACTTTCACAGACTTTTTCATTAACTGTTCCCTCCTGGTGGAATGACCTGCCCAACTCAAACCCAGCACCATCTTCAAGAAACGACTAAAAACACATCTCTTCCATCTTTATTTGACCCTCTAACTCTAGCACTCTCTATTCTAATTCTATTCTTAAAAAAAACTTACTCTATGCACATTCGTAAACTCTATTCATTTACTAACCGCTTGTTTTCTTTAAAAATAATTGCTTCTCTAATCTTTTTGTATTCTATTTGTTTTATTTTTATTTATTATACAATTAACCAAAGCAAAAAAAGGCCTCTAACACTAGCTTGCTCTATTCTTTTTCTATTCTATCTGTTTTCTTTTTTTATTTATAATATAATAAAAAAAAACTTGCTACGTGTACTGCATTAAGCTAACTGAGACTTTTTATAGCACTTGTGTATCATTGCTCTTTTGTTGATTTTGATTGCTTCTATTGTCCTCATTTGTAAGTCACTTTGGATAAAAGCGTCTGCTAAATGACTAAATGTAAATATATTATTTCTTGACATTAAGCAATTTTTTTAACTAATATTGACGCAATGTTGACCATCATGACTGTGTTAAAGTAATTCAAATTCTGAAAAATCAACCATAATCTTACCTTTTATGACATGGCAAGTTCAAACCTCAGTGGTATTCATAATTAAAAATATATAAAAATATACATTTAAAAATGCTTTTTACCTTGAAACATTTATGGTGAGCCGTTAATTCATCTTCACACAAGGCTGTGCTGTTTTAGTTCCAGTGAAGCCAAATCAAGCTTTACAGGCCCTGCTCATTCAGCCAGCGTTAGAAGTATTTATTTATTTAAATGATGTATAAAAATAGCACTTTGAGTCACTGTTTGCCTCTAGAAGTCCAAAACTGAAGCATTTTGCTTGATTTAGACTTCAGTCAAGAGAAGTTGATGGGGTTTTGTGAGAGCTTCATTTACCGACGGAGCAGCTTTATTACATTCGTATAATTGAGTGGTAATGCCTCATTACACTGTGAGAGAGTCTGATCAAGCTCTGAAGATCAATTCAGCACGGCCTGTTGTAGTATTAAAGCTATAACAATGCGCTCATTTGTTGACGGCTAAAGTAATGATGTGTGATTACTATTGCTTATTTTTAAACCCTGACCATAAGTAGCAAACTTCAGCGCATAGTCACAGCTTGTGCTCAAGATATTATTAATATGAAAATCATAAAGTGTGATTACTTTGCTAAGCAATCTGGGTTATTTTCAACTGGTGAAAAAAATCACTCAAGTTTGGGGTTCATGAAATGTTTTCATGTTTCTGAAAGAAGTATTTTCTGCTCACCAGAGCTGTGTTTATTTGATCAAAAATACAGTAAAAATTGTGAAATATTATTATGATTTATAACAGCTGTTTTCTATGTGAATCTCTGTTAAACTGTAATGTATTTCTGTGATGCGCAGCTGTATTTTCAGCATCATTACTCCAGTCTTCAGTGTCACATGATCTTCAGAAATCATTCTAATATGCTGATTTGCTGCTCAACAAACATTTCTGATTATTATCAGTGTTGAAAACAGTCGTGCTGCACAATATTTTTGTGGAAACTGATACATTTTGTTTTTCAGGATTCACAGATGAATAGAAAGCTCAGAAGAACAGCATTTATTTGAAATAGAAATCTTTTGTCACATTATAAATGTCTTTACTGTCACTTTTCATCAATTTAATGCGTCCTTGAAGAATTAATTTCTTTAAAAAAATTATTTATTAAATCAAACATATTTGGATTGTAGGGAACCTAAAAACAATCTGTAACACCCTAGCAACCTCCCTAGCAACCACCCTGAGCAGGATGCGCATAGCAACATGCCCAGAACCCCTTAGCAACCGCGGGTCACAGCTGATGGAGGTGCGTCTGTGGTCTCCTGTCAGCTTCAGGCGGAGCAGCGTGTCTGTGTCAGATTCATGCTGAGGCAGGAGTAATGAAAGCGTTTGTGTGAAACGCTCCCGCTGCTGTGTGTGGGTTTACATGCATTATGCATTATGATGCAGGCGGCTGTGACATGAGCACATCTCACTGTAACCGTCAGACGGTTCCCACTGCCTTCAGTGTCAGACATCAGTGCAGCTGCACTCTCTGCTTATGAAAAATCATCTGCTAGTATGGAAATACCCGTGTCAGATGATCATACTGTGCTAGTGTTTACCACAGTGTGTACCATGCAATTGAATCAATATTTGCTTATGTGTTTACATGTCACTAAAGATTCAAAGAGTTAAAAAAAAAAAGCCTAGGTCCATGGTGCATAACCATGCACCGTTTTTTAACATGTTATTGCTTTAATACTCAAATTAATACTTTTACTCTTCAAGGATGCATTAAATTGATGAAAAGTGACAGTAAAGACATTTATAATGTTACAGCCGATTTCTATTTCAAATAAATGCTGTTTTTCTGAACTTTCTGTTCATCTGTGAATCCTGAAAAATAAAATGCATCACAGTTTCCACAGAAATATTGTGCAGCACAACTGTTTTCAACATTGATAATAATCAGAAATGTTTGTTGAGCAGCAGATCAGCATATTAGAATGATTTCTGAAGATCATGTGACACTGAAGACTGGAGTAATGATGCTGAAAATACAGCTGCGCATCACAGAAATACATTACAGTTTAACAGAGATTCAGATAGAAAACAGCTGTTTTACATTGTAATAATATTTCACATTTTTTTACTGCATTTTTGATCAAATAAATGCAGCCTTGGTGAGCAGAAGAGACTTTTCAGAAACATTTGAATGGCTGTGTACATATACAAAAAACCATGCTGGGACCATTGTACTTGTCAGAAATCATGGTATTACAGTGATACATGGCAAAATAGCATTATTAGAATGGTTCATGTCTACAAAAACATGGCTTGAAAAATGTCCAGAGAAACCCTAGTTCAAATCTGTTGTGTTCTCGAAGGTCTAACACCAACCAGCATGTCCACAAAAACAATGTTTTACCACGCTACACATCCACTTTCACAATACTCTTCCAGAAAAGACCTTCTTTTGGCCTCATTTCAAGGGAAAACTCACCCAAACATGACCATTCCTGCATCATCTACTCGCTCTCATGTCCTATAAGAGTCTTTAAGACTCGCAGTCATTCAAAACACGAGCGAAGATGGTCAACAGAAGCTCAAATGTGCCAAACACACACGTTTCAGCTTCTGTTGTCCATATGCAGTATATATACGTGAAGAAACACCTAAACTAAATCTAAAAATGAAATTAAACTGCTTGATGCAGTTGCATTTATTATGTGGAGTTTAGAGGAAAGGACTGTCAACGGAGGAGCAGAAATCTCTCAGCTTTCATGAAAAATGTCTTCGTTTGTGTTTTGAAGAAGTCTTGCGGGTTTTTAGTGACGTGAGTGTGAAGACTTGATCATTTCTGGGTGAACGATCTGCTCGGCTCTTCTTGAGAAGGTGCACGCTTCTCCTCAGATCGTCAGCTCTATCTCTAATCGTGTGTTCCTCCAGGCAAGCCTGCTATCGCTCACAGGGATCTGAAGTCCAAGAACATCCTGGTGAAGAAGAACGGCACGTGCTGCATTGCAGACCTGGGTTTAGCTGTGCGACACGACTCCGCCACCGACACCATCGACATCGCACCCAACCACAGAGTGGGCACCAAACGGTACGCCCTCCTGTTCTTCAGACGGATTTCAGCCGTCGTTATGGTTGAAGGGACTGGTTTAGCCGTATATAACTCTGGGAAGGCGTTTGAGATGGGTTAGTGAAGGTTCATCTCGAAGTCCTCGATCACTGGTCCAGAGCTACTGCTGCTAGTTTGTTAGTCCTGCTGGGAGTTTAGCTGGGTTTTGGGGTTTTCATTCGTTTGGCTTTTTATTTAGTTTTCTCTCCTACTGATGGGAAGTGTTTTTTTAAAGACAACATGTAACGTGTGTCTTGTTGGCCCATACATTTCTATTTTATTTTATATTTTACTATTTTATTTTATTTTATTTTTGTAATGTAGATATTTTTTGCAGATCTGCAAAAGATGAATTTACAGGGTTTCTTTGGATCTTAAAAAGTATTAATTTGGCTTTCCACAAATTAAGGCCTTAAAAAGTCTTAATGCAGACCATGAAGTCTTAAATTCATAGAATTATGACATTAAAGGGTTACTTCACCCAAAAATGAAAATTCTGTCATTAATTACTAACCCTCATGTCGTTCCAAACCCGTAAGACCTTCGTTCATCTTCAGAACACAAATGAAGATATTTCTGATGAAATCCCAGAGGTTTCTGACCCTGCAGAGACAGCAAGGGAACTGAAACATTCAAGGCATACAAGAATACTTTTTGTGCGCTAAGAAAACAAATGCAGGGTCAGAAATCTCTGGGATTTCATCAGAAACATCTTAATTTGTGTTCTGAAGATGAACGAAGGTCTTTTTTTTTGTTGTCTAATACAAATATCCAGACATCCTTAAATCAAGATACATTTACTGGAGATGCAAAATAAAGATAAGAAGTCTCGTTTTCTGAGAAACTGAAACCTAAAACCTTGAAAAAAATAAAATTACTTGATTTAAAAAAAAAAGAAAAAAAAGATAGTTGCCAAGCGCATCTGTTCAAACACTTCAGCTCAGAGACGGCTGCTGAGAGCTGCTTCTACATCTGTGACGGTGATAGTTTGGAAGTGATTCAAAAAACACGCAAGATATTCCACAAATAAATGGAAAAGCATTTTTGAAACATTTATTTCAATCGATTAAAGTATTGTTTTTTGATTTAATGGTCTAATGGTTTAATCTCATTTTTAGTTTTTATTTGTGTACTTTGGTGTGCACAGGGTTATTATATTAAACTAAAACTAAAATCATATATTTTTTACTTGAAATAAAATTAACATTAAGCGAAGTAAAATAAAATATATTTAAAAAAAACATTTAACATTTTATTTCAGCTAGTTGCAAAGGCAACATTTATCATTTTCATTTAGTTTAACTTGATGTACTAAAATAACTAAAACAGAATTTAAGTAAAATTATTTAAAAATTAATAAAAACTATATAGACATATTAAAACAATATGATTAAAATTTTAACTAAAATTAAAATGAAAACAGAAAATATATATATATATTAAAAAAAAAAAACGAGTTCAAAATATTAACAAAAACATTCTTAATGATACTAAAATACCACTGGCATGCACTTGTTTTTGTAGTAAAAATGCAATATAATTATGATTTGATGCTTGTTTTTTATCATTTACATTTTTAAAACATTTTCTGCAACATACCTTAAATACAACCAAAATACAAAACACTGAAATCTTTTGTGCTCGCTGTGCTTGTGAAGTCCAGGCCTCTGTGCTTTTTTAATTACATATTGATTTATTTCCGTGCCTGTAAACCGGCTGACTTCCTTCGTTCTTCCAGGGGCGTTTTTTCATCCCTTGGTGAAACTGCATTTAGATTTGTTAGTGCTGAATGACAGTAAAGTCAACCTTCAGAAGGACCTTGTTCTTGGATCATGTGGGCATAAATCTCTGGATTAGGATTTTGCTTTGCTTCATCAAAAATAATAACTCTCTATTCACTTGTATCCTTCAACAGGTATATGGCTCCAGAAGTGCTTGACGATTCAATAAACATGAAGCACTTTGAGTCTTTCAAGAGGGCAGACATCTATGCCATGGGGCTGGTCTTCTGGGAAATTGCCAGCAGATGTTCTATTGGAGGTATTATTCATATGAAACTAGCTCTACTTTAATAACTGTTTTAGTTCACCAGACAAGTTTGCATTTTGAAGTTTGTCTGATCTTTTGATCAGCAGCATCATCTGTTGTTTTTTGAGTTTTAGACTCATCGTACCTTAACTGAAGCATGTTTTTGCGCAGGCATTCATGAGGACTACCAGCTGCCGTACTATGACCTGGTGCAGTCCGACCCGTCGGTGGAGGAGATGAGGAGAGTCGTGTGCGAACAGAAACTACGGCCCAACATCCCAAACAGATGGCAGAGCTGTGAGGTGAGAACACTCAACTTAAAACAGAGGAATGAAAACCCAATCTGTAAATATATCCGTCTGTGAGTTGACGAATGGACAATGTATATAAATATATATATATTAGGGCTGTCAATTGATTAAAATATTTATTCGTGATTAATCGCATGATTGCCATGATTTAACTCGTAATTAATCACAACTTAATAGCACATTTTTATCTGTTCTAAATGTACCTTAAATTAATACTTTTCAAGTTTTTAATGCTCTAATCAACAAGGGCATGGACAAATATGGATGCTTTTTGCAAATGTATGTTTATTATTAGTGAAACCATACTCAACATAGAGCATAAAGAATTTTTAAAAAAAGTTTATAAAACTATTTTTAAGAAATTGAATCAAAAGTCCAAAGTATCAATTATTATATTAATTTAAACAATTATTATCAATTAATTATTATATTAAGTACATAACATATAACTATATTTTACTGGCTTAATTGTTTAGATTTTTATAATGCATTATCTTCTTATCGATCTACCAGTTCACATTTACAGCTGTGTGTTTGCGGCATAAAAACATGGGTGAATGTTCGCATTGGTCTGAACCGAAACAGCAGACGGGCTTATCGAAAATGCACATTCATTCTCTGCCAGCAGATGGCGCTGTCTGAATGGCAGAAATACAGCGGTTTCTCCGACTGTAAACAAAGCAGCGCAGCACCGACTTTGAAAACTGCAGCACTCATCTTTATTCAATGAAATCATTGTCTTTTGAAGTTTAATCGTCACATTAAGCCATATCACAATTCTTGTCTTTCCCTCCCCAAATTTAAGACCTCTTGAAATCATAATTAAGACCTTCTTGTTAGCATTACAGTTCTAGTCACTAGTTACAGCGTTACAGTCACTAGCTACAGTGTTAAAGATCTAGTCACTAGTTACAGCATTACAGATCTAGTCACTAGTTACAGCCTTAGTCACTAGTTATAGTGTTACAATTCTAGTTATTAGTTACAGTGTTTCAGCACTAGTCACTAGCTACAGTGTTACAGTTCTAGTCACTAGTTACAGCGTTACGGTTCTAGTCACTAGTTATAGTGTTACAGTATTAGTCACTAATTACACTGTTACAGATCTAGTCACTAGTTATAGTGCTACAGTACTAGTTACAGTGTTACAGTACTTGTCACTAGTTACAGTGTCTAGTCACTCGTTACAGTCTTTTGGTTCTAGTCACTAGTTATAGTGTTACAGTTCTAGACACTAGTTACAGTGTTACAGTACTTGTCACTAGTTACATTGTCTAGTCACTCGTTAAAGTCTTTTGGTTCTAGTCACTAGTTATAGTGTTACAGTACTTGTCACTAGTTACAGTGTCTAGTCACTAGTTACAGCCTTTTGGTTCTAGTCACTAGTTATAGTGCTACAGTACTAGTCACTAGTTACAGCGTTACGGTTCTAGTCACTAGTTACAGCGTTACGGTTCTAGTCACTAGTTACAGCATTATGGTTCTAGTCACTAGTTACATCATTTTGGTTCTAGTCACTAGTTACATCATTTTGGTTCTAGTCACTAGTTATAGTGTTACAGTTCTAGTCACTAGTTATAGTGTTACAGTATTAGTCACTAATTACAGTGTTACACATCTAGTGACTAGATATAGTGTTACAGTACTAGTCACTAGTTGCAGTGTCTAGTCACTAGTTAATGTGGATGCGTGTGCTGTATATCACATCAGAAGGAAATGTTTAATTTAGTGGCTGATGTTTAATTACACATTTTAAATAGCAAATTCTGGTAATCAGAACCAATGTAAAGAACTTTTAATTGGATGGTAATGAAATTACGGACCTATGTAACTGAAGTTACTTTGCAAATAAGTCATGAAATTACCAAAGTACGTTGAGAGTTGGTAATTGGATGGTAATGAAGTTACGAGCATGCAGTGTCCTAGTTGCATTGTCAATTAGCAAGTCATGGAATGACCAAAAGTGGCAATAAATGATGTAACCGTTACATCATGCGTTAGCTGGGTTTTCTTCTTCAACATTTCCGCTGACTGGGAGAAATGTTGCCCGTCCAGAACACGCAGAGACAAGAAGAGTGAGACCAGTGTCATTTTTGAAAATAGACAAAGCCAAATAGACATTTCTCTATATAACAACGGACAATGTGTGTGTACTTATGCACTTTGCTTTCTTGTGCTCAGATATATCGTCTTGTTCTTGAAAGAGCACGTTTAATTTTCCCATGTAGATCAATAAAGTTAATTCTCGCAGCATTTCATTACGGCGTGCACAGATCTGCCCTCTCGACCCGGGTAATCGCACCGGTAATCGTTCATCAAAACAGCGCTGGCCTCTTTATTACTGGGGAAGTGACACGACTTGATTCGATTTGATCCAAGATAACACTGCTGTGAAATCGAATCCGTCTCCAGCATATGAAAGCTGCCAAACGCTCTGTGAAACAGAGGTGTGCCTCTGGTGCTCTCATAACGGATACGCTGTCTTTGTTTCTGCGTTTCGGCTGGATTGTCTTCCTCGCGGCGGATGACCTTCCGTGTTTGGCGAGCAGCTAAATGAACTAAACTGTGCTTGTGTGTCTGCGGCACAAACAGAAATGATTTGATTAGCATTCGGTGGAAATCTTTCACCCTGACAGCCAAAAGTGGGTGTCAGTAATGACCCAAAGAGAGCTCAAATCTCTGCAGACGTTGTTGTGCATTTATATACAGCTAACAGTGTGGCCAGTATGAAGCGCTGCAGCTCTTTTACTTGCTTTGTCTGATCTAATAAAAATCCCAGTGCTGAGTAAAGACGCAGACGAGCGTTTCTGCTGGAGTCATCAGGAGATGATGTGCAAATAATAAATGTCTGAAGCAGCGCATTTGTATCTATTCTAGCGTTTCTTAGAGGGCATGAACCGAAACACTGATTTGACAAGAAACTGCTTGAAAAAAAGACTTTCAGAAGCTGTAGTGATTTAAACATCAGAGTACAAAATACAAATTGAGCTGCTTGAGTTTTGTCTGGACACACTTCAGTGAATTAGTTTCTCATTAGGTTAAAAACAGGCAAATCAGTGTTCCTTTAGCTAATAGCTAGAGCCACTTTTGGACCTTGTGTGTGTTTTTAAGAAAGTAAAGTCTCTTAAAGACTTTTGACTAGTTTTTATTTTATTTGTTATCATCAGAAATTGGGAATGGAAATGTGTAATTTTCACCGCATCGTACAGTATTGTGTTTAAGAGCATGCTGTAGTGGGAATGACGGAAATGGCATTTTTAATATTTTTGGAATAAAATACACAAAGTTAAATGACGTTTTCAAAGTTTTTGCATAATTTTCCAAAATTACAGCTTGATTGGATTTTTTTGGCTATTTCTCATAATTGTGACTTTATATGTGACCCTGGACCACAAAACCAGTCTTAAGTGTCAATTTTTCAAAATTGAGATTTATACATCATCTAAGAGCTGAATAAATAATCTTTCCATTGATGTATGGTTTGTTAGGATAGGACAATATTTGGCTGAGATACAACTATTTGAAAATCTGGAATCTGAGGGTGCAAAAAAATCTAAATATTGAGAAAATCATCTTTAAAGTTGTTCAAATGAAGTTCTTAGCAATGCATATTACTAATAAAAAAACACAAAGTTTTGATATATTTACGGTAGGAAATGTACAAAATATCTTCATGGAACATGATCTTTACTTAATATCCTAATGATTTTTGGCATAAAAGAAAAATAATTTTGACCCATACAATGTACTGTTGGCTATTGCTACAAATATACCCCAGCGACTTAACACTGCTTTTGTGCTGCAGGGTTATATATGTTACACTGTGACTTTATTTTTCATACTTGTAACCTTTTTTCATGTAATTGTGAATTTTTATATCTCACAATGTGACTTTCTTTTGTAATTGTGACCTTGTATCTCACAATATGATTGTATTTATTTTAATGCTTTTAGTTTTGGTTAACTATAATAACCACGATAAATACACATGCAATCTCGGGATTTTCATTTTTGAAGATTAAAAGTGTGATGATTTTGGGATGAGGGTAAAACAATCAGATCTGAATGAAGAATGCCTGATAGAAAGGAGTTAAAGTTTTAATGTGAGCAGTATGAGTTGTGTGTGCGTGTGTATTTATGTGCTGTTTCGTGTGTTCAGGCTCTGCGTGTGATGGCGAAGATCATGAGGGAGTGCTGGTACGCTAACGGAGCGGCCCGTCTCACAGCCCTGCGCATCAAGAAGACGCTGTCCCAGCTCAGCCAGCAGGAGGGCATCAAGATGTAGAGCATTCCTTTCCCATCATCCTTCAGAACCGCATCACACGCAGCACTTTCACTGACGCCTGCCGCTCGTTTCTGCATCTCGGTCTTAAACACGGACTCCTGAGGATGATGGGCCGTCATTCTCACTCGGAGCACCAGACCGCGTCAAACACAAGAAGGGTTCTTTTATTATTTATAAGCGGCCGGTGGATTTGAGTTTGGTTTTTCTCCCATGGAGGTTTGATTGATTTGTACCTGGTGTTTAATTTCCGCTTATCACTGCAGTTCTTCAGGTCGGCGGGACTTTTAATACATGTGTTCTGTTTTTGCAAAAACAAAACTGGACATGACCTCATTCAGTCCTGGCGAACATGCGTGACATATGCAATACAGATGAAACCTATCGACTTTATATTTTTACTGCTCTGCTACAACAACTACGATGACAACCATGCCTTCCAAGCCAGGTGTTACCAGCAAGTGCCACTGCTTTGAACCAACCAACTAACCAACCCACCCTCACGGTGCGCTGGGATTCTCTTATGCACACGGAGCGAGAGCGGGCCACTGGTGCCGTTCTTCATTCTCTCTGCCTCTCATTCTCTTCACTGAGGGATGTAACTACTATCAGACCTCTTCATTTACAGCTGGATTCACGGGAACGGGCTGCGATCGGTCGGCCGGTTACAGCGAGGTGCACACCACTGACGCTCGACGCAAGCCGGCGACTGAACAAGAACGAAATAGCATTACTGAAAGCTGCCCAGACATACAGTATGATTAGAGCGCTCTCGGCGTGCAAAGACCAGGTATGGTTGATATAGAATGGATATTTACTAAGCCATTGGTTTTCCAACATTTTGTGGCAACTTTTTCTAATAGAATGTAAATGAGAAGAAATGTCAAGGACTGCTTTGAAACTCTTTGGAGCGAGCCTTAAGGGACCAACGTGGAGCTGAGTGTAATGACACGCTGGCTTCAGGACTGTGTGTAAGCCGGTTCGGAAATGTAGCAGCAGTCGTGTGTGGCTCAGAGCTGGTGAGATCGTGAATGAAGAGCGAAAGCTCAACTGCTTTCTCAAGGTATCATTTTCTGGTGCTTATTTAAGCGTGCAACTCGAGATTCTTATTTCTCTACATCCATACGTTTGACAGTTTCCCGCCGCTGAGTTTTCAGCGATCTTTATAGTCAGTCGTGGAAGGAATCTTCAGTGCAATGCAAGTCAAGCTCAGTCCACAGCATTTGTGTCGGAATGTTGATCAGCACAAAATTACAGCAAACGTCATGGTTGCGATGAGGCACTTACAATGGAAATGAATGGGGCAATTTTTGCAGGATTTAAAAGATTTAAAATTGGAAATTTTGTGAAAGCACTTCTATTAATTATTCTGCTAAAACATGGGTATTATTTGAGCTGCAAAGGATCATGTTAAGGTTTTAGCTGTTACATTATGACAACAAATCTGTAAAATTGGACAGAAAATGTTTTTTTTTTTTATACAAAAACAGTGAATGTATGTTGTTATGTGTTCATTTGCGGCTCATTTGAAACGCCATTGTAAGTACCTCACTGGAACGCAGATTTTTTAAAGGAAATACATTTTTGTGAAAACCAACCAATGCTGTCAGTTTAGTGCGACGTGTATTGAATGTGGATATTCCTTTAAGAAGCGTAAACGATGTCACGTGTTGAGCAGTAGCAGTGTTTTAGCATGTTGATTGCTCAGGTGAAGGCTTTCTGCTCTTCTGGTGGTCAAACTTCACTGCTATGCATCACGAGTCTCTGCTGGAGCACAAACCACACACAGACTCTCCGCATCTCATGCAGTTTACAGCAATTACATTCATACAGCTCTTGTTTTTTCCTGAAATGTGTTGGAATTGCTTTAGGGAAGGCATTTCCAGCACACTTCCTTTAAAGCGGATTGATTTTGCCATGTATTTCTCAGTTGTGCTGAGTTTGAGTTTGTTTGCCAGTCGCTCGGATGGACAGTAGTGTCATGATGGATTATTGATGCGGTTTCATACGTACAGTGAGTGAATGAATGACTCCTGCCACACATTCAGATGCACAATTCCTCAATGAAGTACTTTTTAATGTGTGCGTAGGATGCAGTGACTATAAATAATGTGTACATGTATATAAATATGTATAATGTTTGTCAGGCTGGGCCCAGTTTGTTAACAGAGAAAGTGTAAATTAAACCCAGTTTCAGGAAAAGGGAGCGATCCGGGGAATCGATCGGCTCGTTTGAGGGAATGAGAGTGTAGTTCAGCTTTCTTCAGCAAACACAGAGAGTTCAGCCAGAAATGAAAATGATCACTTATTCATCCTCATGCTGCTCCAAGCCTGTACGCTGAGCTCGGGGAGTGAGAAAGGTCGCTCTTTTACATGCAATTAAAATGAATCGGTTTTGGGGTTATTACAGTTCACTAAAACTAAAATCTTTAAAAAAGAAAACTTTGAAAACTTGAAATAAATGTTACCTGAAATAAAATAAAAAAAAACTTAAACTTATTTATTTCAGCTAGTTTCCAAAGTAACATTTCTCATTTTCATTTAGTTTAACTTGATGTACTAAAATATCTAAATAGCTGGAATAAAAATAATGACAAATACACTAAAATTAAAGTGAAATTAAAAAATTTAAAAATAAAATCTCATTCAAAATATTAACAAAAACCATAATAGACACTAAATATAATACTCAATGACACTAAAATAACAGGATTTCAATCTTTCAAGCTTCAGAAAGAACTTGCATCATAAACATAGTCTGTACGACGGGATGTTTTGAGTAATCGAGTATGACGTTAGTTTTAACCTCTGAAGATTTCGTGAAGTCTGATCCTATTTGATCCAGTTCCCAAAACTAGAGAATCTTACTGATCCACTTTCAGCATTTACTGCAACTGCACAGAAAAGAGCAGCCAGAGCATTCTTCAAAATATCTCTTTCTGCGTTCTATGTTCAAACGCAAGCAAGGACGTGGTTTGGAATGACATGAGGACCAACGCTGACGGTTTTCACTCTGGGCTCAACGCTGTTTTCCCGCTCGTGCCGTGTCAGTCTTCACGGACAGCAGCTTTCGCATCCTCAATCACTAGCGTTTAGTTTCAGACTCGAGCGGTAAGATCTGCATCCAGGTTTCCTTTAGTGGCGTGCAGGTGTGTTCTGGGCCACACCAGCTATAGCTTGACAGAAAAGCCACAGCGTTGCAGCTGTACTGTAGCTCAGCGTCTTCTGTGCCAAACGCTGCAGATGAGTCCAGCATCCCTCTCGACGAGCTCGTGCCTCCTCCAGACTCTTCTGCAGCAGAGACCTTCATCAACAGAGGCCATATTTCCAGCAGAAAGCTGGAGTCAGACGCCCTTACATGACCCAGACTTCAACACCGCTGGCTTTTCATTAATAACTCTTGAAAGGTAGATTATGCCGTTTCACACTATAATGCACAAACATGTCAGTGCGTCTTACGCAGCCTCAGATGGCCTAATTAACAAAAGCGCGACAGGCCGTGGATGCACGCGTCTAACCTGAACGTGGCAGGTGTGAATGTTAATAGCGCAAACTATTTGCATTTTTAAAGCGGTGGCATGAAAACACACAGGTCTTTCACTCATTTATGCAAATGCATTTGGTCTGACAGACCTCAATCGTCACGCTGTTTATTAGAGTTTAATTACACGGACACTGTGAAAAAGACCCTTGAGGGCCGCTGGGCCGCCGGCACTAAAACACAGGAGAATTCTGGGTCATTTAAGGGCAGCTGACGATTTCCCATGATGCATTTGGCTGCTGATTGGACGTGGAAAGCTTTATCGTGTTTTATTTGGTGCCTAAGTTTGACTCTGTTTTGTTTTTTAATTCCACTTAGAATGATGCACTGCATGGGACTTATTTCTAATGTTTGCATCACTTGCTTTTTTTAAGAAAAAAAAAAAATCAAGAATAATAATAAAAAAAATTATAATTTCAATAGGTTTTAAAAGGTCAAAATGTCATGAGAAAAATACCTCCTCTGAAGACCAATGTGTTTATACCTCAGTGTATATATTTGAGTTGTTTACTCTGAGTTTGAAATGCTGAAATGAGATTTTATGTGGCTGGTACTTGTGTTACTGTATTATTGTCCAAACAGTATATTCCTTCTTTAAAGCATTATTTGGTTTCGTTCTGTTCTTTTTGTGTTCTGTAAGAATTACAAGTGCTTTACTGATGTCATACTGTCCTTTAATGCCTCCTCAGCTGTATAGAAATGCCTTGTTACAAAAAAAAGAAAAGCCGAGTGAAGCTGGTGGCTGAAGTGGGCTGTGTGGGTCACTAAAGCCTCATGTATCGACTCTTTTCTAGCGTGTACAGATGATAGGATCATAGCCGAGTGAAGATCGTGTTGCTTTCTAACATAGCGGAGTAGAGATGGGTGTCAATAAAAACACTTTCAACTTTTATATACCAGCTCTTGTTTTATTGCTCTCCTGGCTTGGTTCATGCAAAATATTAAGAAATTGTCCTGTTAACACATTTAATAAAAATGTAGGTGAATAACTGAAAAATTATCCAAAATATATTATTTGTACACAAACTTTTTTAGTCTTGTAGCTGGTTTTCTCCAACCCAGAATCAGTATTCAGTAAATTAAGAAAGATCATAATCATATTAATTACAATATAACTGATATTTTAAAAATATTTTTATTTTAAAAAACGTTTTAAAACATTATTATTAATAGTGATCATTTTTATAACTGTTTTACCACTCCTATATTTTATGAGAAGTATTTTAAATTATTAAAAATACAAAGACCTTTACAGGGATATGATGGGAAAAAAAGAGAGTGGAGGGGAAAAAATTCTCCATCTATTTTTTTTTTTTTACATCACCATGTTACAGAAGCCCATTTCTGCCATGGAATCAAAAAATTAAAAGCAATTGCGACTTTTTATCTCACAATTCTGACTTGTTTTTTTAACACTCAGAATAACAAGATATAAACTCGCAATTGTGAGGTGGGAAAAATACACTATTTTTTACTTTTTATTCTATTGCAGAAAAATGATGTAAACTCAGAATTCAGAGAAAAAAGTCAGAATTGTGAGTTTAGTTCTGAGTTCAGAGGTCATGTCTCGCTCATGGATGAAGTGAGATTCTAGACCGTGTGCTTCATTCCAGCAGAACAGAGTCAGTCAGTAGCCTACAGTTGTGTTGTGCTTTTAAACATTTTCACCTTTCACATGTTTAATATTGCTAGACTCAATAAATGAGAAGATGCAGTCGAGTGAGGCGATTCATTCTGTTTCATAAATCAAAAATTCATGCGTTTTATAATTGGTCCCTGATTAGAAAGCTCGTCTAGTGCTTCCTCCAGTTGATGGTGAAGTGTTTCAGAAAGCACCTGCCGCATCAGACAGACCTCCGGAAACTCAAACCCACTCTCAGCTCGGGGAGAGTTTGCTTCACTTACTCCACATTCACTTCAGTCTCTCAGACCAGGCTTTGATGGCATCAGAAATGAGCAGCTCTGCTGTCTTCACATGAAATGTTCTTGAGTTGCTCAGTTTCTCGAATCAGTGTGTAATGAGTTGATGCCAAACCGCTTCAGCTCACAGAAACACCTTCCACTGATGTTAGACAGCATCTCAGAGACAACTCATATCCATACGATTCCTCATCCGAGCACAAAAACAAAGGTATGAAACTTTATATCTTACATTTGTGACTTTATATTTCATTATTCTGACTTTATTTCTCATAAATTCCAACTTCATATCTCACAATGTGTTTTTCATTTTTTTTATAATTGCAACCTTATTTATTGAAACTTTATCTCACAATGTGACTTTATATCTTACAATGTGACTTTTTTCAGATTCTCACAATGTATCATAATTGCAACTTTACATCTCATAATGTGACTTTATTTCTCATCATTTCTACCTTATTTCTCTTGATTGTGTCTTTTATATATCACAATGTGAATTGTAATTGCAACATTATTTCTCTTAATCATGTCGTTATATCTCACATTATGACTAAAATCACAATACATCTCACTTTATTTTTTGAGAAACAGTTACATTGTGAGAACGTTTTAATTGCAACTTTCTCACAATGTAACTATTTCTCATATTTGAGACTTTATATCTCACAGTGTGATTTCATTTTTTTTAAATAATTGTGACTACATTTCTCATAATTGCAACTTTACATCTTACAATGTGACTTTTCTCATAACTGCAACGCAACAAAATCACATTTTCTCATATTTGAGACTTCACATCTCACAATGTGAATTTGTTTCTTGTAATTGCAACTGTATCTTACAATATAACTGTATTGTTTAGTCATTTCAACCTTACATCTCACAAAGTGACTTTATAGCAGCTTTATATCTTGCAATGCAACTTTTTCTGTTGTGATCAGAGTCTGAATCATATGCTACACCTCATTATATCTCCTCTCTCTGTTTTCTTTGTTTCTTTCTCTCCATCTCTTCGGATATTTAAAAGTCGTTTTAGCCTTGTACCCTGTGCAGTTCTTCTGTGTGAAGAAATACCAGCTACAAATCATTTCTGTTTCACAGACTCACTGAACTCAGAAGGTATGATTTTCATCAGTGAAGGGGCTGAGACTGAGACTTTAAACATGTCACAAGCACGAGTCTGCTTTACTATATTCTCAACACTATCAGGGTATAGGCTGTTTCATTTATTCACGTGTTAAGCCAGATCTGGAGCAAATTTAAGCGAGACTCTGGAAATGAAAGCAGACGAGCTGTTCAAAGGAAGGAAGCTATGACAATAAAAGCACTATAAATGTCAGAGTGCCTGCGGTAAGTGGATGTGATCGACGCTTTCTCTATTTCTACTTTATTTGCCATGTTTTACCTGTCAGGCAGAAGCCAAAAATAGCTGCAAGCGGCACCCAGCTGCTCGTGACACAGATGCATCTCTCTGGCAGACGCAGGAGTTTCTCTGACCAGGAGAACATGCACTTATTGATTTGGGGTGTTTTGTGATTTGAAGGTCAGTCGCCGAGCTTTCTCTGGTTTCTGTTTTTCTGTAAGAGGCTGGAGAATGTGTGTGTGAGCTGAAGTCTAGATCTAGATCTTCCTCCAGAAGGGGACACTGTTGCCCTTCAAATCTCCCTGCACTCTGCTTTGAGACTCAGACGCTTCATATTTATTGCATCTCGCATGAATTTTTTAAATGATGGATGGGTTTCGTGAGAAGACTCACTGCAGCATCCTATCATATATGCAGTCTGAGAGCACACTGAAAATACAGGCTTTCTGAGTCCAGCCTTCCTGGACACTTTATTTTTTCATAATTGCTACTTTATATCTTATTATGTCACTATTTTTGTAATT